GTTGTCGTGGTAGTTGGTTGAGGTGTGGTGGTGGCAGCTGTGGTAGTTGTAGTCACAGTAGAAGGGGGAGAATCAGTTGTGTCTGTTGTGCTTGTACCCTCAGTGGTAGTGCCGGCCGTTGTCGTGGTAGTTGGTTGAGGTGTGGTGGTGGCCACTGTGGTAGTTGTAGCCTCAGTAGAAGGGGGAGAATCAGTTGTGTCTGTTGTGGTTGTACCCTCAGTGGTAGTGCCGGCCATTGTCGTGGTAGTTGGTTGAGGTGTGGTGGTGGCCACCGTGGTAGTTGTAGCCTCAGTAGAAGGGGGAGAAGCAGTTGTGTCTGTTGTGCTTGTACCCTCAGTGGTAGTGCCGGCCGTTGTCGTGGTAGTTGGTTGAGGTGTGGTGGTGGCCACCGTGGTAGTTGTAGTCTAAGTAGAAGTGGAAGAAGCAGTTGTGTCTGTTGTGGTTGTACCCTCAGTGGTAGTGCCGGCCACTGTCGTGGTAGTTGGATGAGGTGTGGTGGTGGCAACTGTGGTAGTCATAGTCTCAGTAGAAGTGGTGGAAGCAGTGGTGGCTGTTTTGGTCGTGCCCTCAGTTATATCTGTGATCGTTTTTTCAGTTGAAGTGGCGTCTGTTGCAATTGTGGTTTCTGTGGAATCAGTGGTTGGTATACTTGTAAGTTCCGTTGAAGTGTGCTCAGTGATGGTAGTCATGGTACTGGATGTTGTGGTAGAATCTGTAGTGCTAGTGGCAACTGTAGTTTTGGAACTATCAGATGAGCTTGTTTCAGTCAATGAGATTGTCCCCTGGTTTTGAGTAAGTTGTATAAAAATGGGGGCATTATTATTTTTCCCATTATACACCAGAGACACTATGAGTACTCCAATTGCCACTGTTATCACAGAAGCTAAGAGACAAGCCAGGAATATTTTCCACAGAGACCAGCCACTAAACAAACTTCGTGTCACCTGAAAAGGATTTAAATATAATTACTGAAGTTGAAACCAAATGTTGCAAGAAAAATATGTCATTTATAATCTTTTTATATATAGATTACTTCAGTGGAAGAATGTATAAACATAAAAAATACCTTAATAGCCTGTAGTAATAAATATTGGATCAAGTTTAATGTTTCATTTGGGAAAGGCTTGGTCTTTGTAATAGGAATAAAGGAATAGCCACTGATCTGTCTGCTTTCTTTTCATGTGTATTTAAAGCTAAAAGAAATATTAAATGTCATCTTAGAAACTGTTTATTCCTCCCACCATCAAATGAAGTATCTACACGTGTGTGTCTGACTGCTGCATCCCATGATTTGAGGGACCCAAAATATCACCTGATAAAATCTTCTCCCTTCATTGGCCTATCAACTACCAGATTTGTGTCTGCTTTACAGCCTTCCATTTTAAATGCATTAATTAACGGCCTATCAAATATTCTAGCTAGCTGTTCATACAGGTTAGCATGGCAGCATGCAAATCAGAGTTGAAGACATTGGTTGAAATCCATCTTGTGCGCCACCAGCTATTTTCACTGTGTAAGATGTTAACCTCTTTGATCTTATTTTTTCATCCATAAAAATCTACAAGATTAGAATAGGGATTAGTGTCAGTAATATTACTTTGTAATATCTCTCTAATCTGTTATTGTAGAGGAAACATTGCATAGTATAAAACATGTAAGCCTTGAGACAAGAGAGTCTTGAATTTGAATTCCATCCCATTAATATTCTGAGCAAGTTTCTTAACTTGCCTAATTCTCAACTTGCCTTGTATCAAAAGTGGGGATAATAATATCTACCTCCAAATGTTATTGAGAAAATTAGAATAAGAAACATCCTTCAAATTAGATTTTTGCAGAAGGCGGGGCTTTATAGTAATTAAGGGCATAGCCATTTGAATCTAACAGATTTAGGTTTAAATTTTAAGTCCACCTTTTACTAGGTAGATGGTGGTATGTGGAAATTTGCCATGTCTTGCAAAGCCTCAATTCCCTTGCATGGATAATATCACCTATTTAATAAGGCTAAACAGTAAATAAGAAAACAGTATGAATAATGTTGTCCTAGCACTTTCTAAGTACTCAAAAAACATCTGATTTCACTAATTAGCTCATTCTTATCCATTTTCTTATGACTGAAAACAATCACTAAAGGAAACAAAGAGCACATATGTCATTGGAGCATGTAGGGTAACTCTTCAATTTTCCAAAATAGTGGACACTGTCTCAGACAATAAACCACAATTTGGGTGTTGAGAGTGACACCCACTAGGCAATCAGAAGCAGTTCAAGGGCATTGGGTACCAAGGCTAAGGGAATTTGTGGCACCAACTAAGAGAGCCCAATGACTAATGGCACCTCCTGCCCCATGTCATCTAGGCCTTAGAAAGGAAATCAAAGGGGGAGGAGAGGAAGGACCATACTCACACCTCAGAGGAAAATTACCCTCATTTTTTGTTTGAATTTTTAAAAAGAGGAGCAAGATTAATAAAAACTCATCTTAACCTAACCTGAGACCTGTGCTCAAGTGCTATTACTGCTACTATCTAGATGTGTGAATTCTTACAAACAATCTAAACTTCCTAGACCACGATGTTTTCCATCTGTGGCTAAGTAAAGGCATCTAAAATAACTTTCAGCTCTCTGATTGGTCTGGTTTGTTTGAGGTCATCAGAGATATATTCTCTAAATAATTCTATCAAAAGCCTTCTTCCACAGTGTTTCTTGTCATTAAGAGTTTATCCTCTCTTCTCTTATCAAAGTCTTTCCAAACTGTCTCTGTAGCAGGATTAATCAGGGGAGGGGTGTAGTCCAGGGCCAGAAGAATCGAACCAAACTGCCAGGCATCAGTAGCAATCAGTCAAAATCAAGTTTTCACCTGGAGTAGGGGGAGGAATGGAGGAAAGACTCGGAGATCAGGTCTCAAGGTGAAGAAAACAGAATGATGAGAAACAGTGTAAAGAACACCGGAAATCTGCTTCTGGGCACCAAACCAAGGCAAGGCTAAATATTGTCTAAGTCAAGGTTGAAAACACACGAGGTCAGAAACAGGAGGCTAACAGAAGGCCCACAGTTATGCTCAGAAGCAGGAAGTGAAGGAGAGTGAGCCAGATCACCCACAGACTAGGGCCCCAGGGCTTTAACACATGACTACACCTTCCACTGAGCAAGGGTTACAACGTCATTCACTGTCAATGCATTTGCTGTCATCAGCTACTCGGTCCTCCAAAAAAAGGAACCCAAAACTTTGGGGTTTTTTTTGATGCTTATATATTTTCCCTAAACTTTATAGGTGTTTTTTCTTTCCATCAAGATGATTAGCTCCTTAAATTAAGAGTCCCATAAATCTACCTCTTCTGCATTCCCTCTCAGTGATTTGACATGTTCAAAGGATGCTGTAGATTTTCAAAAGAACAATGTTAATTGATTGAATGTTTTTTCTCTAATATTAGATCAAAAACACTTCCATGTGGATTACATCATAACCCAGAGAAACAGTGTCACCCCAGACATTACCTGAAAATGCTGGGATTCTCTGTTTGGAAAATTTGGAAGTCCAAGGGTCCCTCTGTTGATGCAGATGTCATTTAAATTGGGACCAGCATCACCAGTTACATCAATTGATGTTGCAAACTTACAGGCTGAACTCTGAGCTTCATCGTTTCCAAGGTTCGGGAATGGCTGTGTACAGAAAAGAATGGGAGAAAAATAAGATGCTATTGTATTTTGTGCCTAAAGTAATACAATTCGGACAAATATAAATTAGATTATGTCATATTATGGCTTATTTGATCAAATAAGATCATTTGAAACCTGAGGAATAAATAAATACATTTATTATATTTCTTCTCAAAATAAGAAAATCGAATTAGGTCATCATAAATTACATTTAATTATTTTATATAATTATTCACATTAAAATTCAGGCATTATCTTTTACCTTCATCATATTTAAAGGATTTGTTAAATATCATTATGTGGCAAGCTGATGTAGAGAGATATTTTAAAAAGTCCCATAATAGGATGTGGAGAAAAGGGAACACTCCTACTCTGTTGGTGGGAACGTAAATTGGTGCAGCCACTGTGGAAAATAGTATGGAGGATTCTCAAAAAACTAAAAATAGAATTATCATATGACCCAGCAATTCCACTCCTGGGAATATAACTGAAAAAAACAAAAACACTAATTCAAAGAGATACGTGCACCCCAATGTTCATAGCAGCATTATTTACAATTGCCAAAGTATGGAAGCAACCTAAGTGTTCATCAACAGATGAATGGATAAAGAAGATGTGATATATATCTACAGTGGAATCCTACTCAGCCATAAAAAAGAATGAATTCTTGCCATTTGCAGCAACATGGATGGAGTTGGAGTGCATTATGCTAAGTGAAATAAGTCAGACAGAGAAAGACAAATACTGTAAAATAAAAAATACAACAAACTAGTGAATAAAACAGAAAAGAAGCAGACTCACAAATACAGAGAACAAACTATTGGTTACCAGTGGGGAGAGGAAAGGGGGAGGAGGATGGGTGGGGAAAGGGTTATTATGAGAATATATAAAATCATATGTATGAAACGTCTGAAAATTGTAAAGAACTATAGAATTTAAAGAATCTTTTATTCAATAAAAAAAATTACATACTTCTGTGTAATTCTACATGGCCATAAATTTGTGTGCTTCAGCTAGTATGGAATAATAAATTACTTTCCAGAAAAAAATTTTTTTAATAAAATAGAATTTAAAAGTCCCAAAATGAAAATTCTAGAGACTTCAAGGCTTATAAAGAACAACACTTTGTGGTCTTATTCATAATGAGAAAATCAAATCTAAAGAGGTGAAGTGAGAGTCTAGGTATAGTAAATTGCAATAGGACACTTCTCCCACTGCAATCAATCAATCAATCAATAAATAAAATTGAAGGGCTTTCGAAGAAGTGAAAATCAGATTACTTAAAATTTAAAAGAAGAAAGAGCTTTTCCAAGGTGATCTAATAATCATAGGCCATTTTATTTTCTGGGAGCATTTGTTGATTCTGAGTATGAGTTGAGGTTCTGACTAACAAAAGAGTCAGCAAAACTTTTGCTGTTCATGTGAGTCTGGCATAACAGACTGGAAAATAGGGGGTCCCCAAACACAAGGCCTTTGTAATGTTCTGGAATAGCTCAGGAGGCTGGAAATCAGGATGGAAAGGCAGAGTAAAGTCTTCAGCAGTATCATAGTGATTAGGAGATAAAATCCTGCTATCAGAAAGGGACTTAAACACAAGACTGGTTTCCCCCTAAGGACATTTGCCATACTTTGAGGCTGCCTGGCATAGGATGTTAAAGAGCTGACCTTGAAATCTCTGAAGGTCAATCTCTGAAGAATATACATACAAACATTATAAACAAAATAATAGTAAATTAAATCCAAAAATATA